CAGATGCAAGATATCAGATGTGCTTCTTCGTTGTATATGTATTCGTGCTCGCTTCTGAACTAAAGCTCAAGTAACGCATTCGTGTATCACAAACACACAAGCATAAGACAAGGTCGCCTTTTGAACTGTAACAGGAACTTTAAACAGATAACGGTACATGTTTATTGGGGGGGGGGGGGTTTAGGACAACACAAATATGTGAGCAAACCTTTAACCCACACCTTCAGCAAATCTACAGAGACAACTGGACCCTAAATAGTCCTGAGCGCGTGGAAAGTGGCATGGACGTACCTTTCCAACCGGGTAGAGCATAGCTGCTATCTTCGCTCTCTCTGATAGCTCTATATTCTCTCATATCAGCCTCGCTCATTGTCCCACGCTCCTTTAAAATACGCTGATAATTATCTTTGCGAAAATCATCTTGCGCGCACATACTATATATTTAAATTAATGAGCTTGGAGCACAGTTGCAACTTGAATTCGCATTAGCAGACTGATGGATCAGGATTGACAGGCAGGATCTACGAGGTCGCAGAGGACTTTATTATAATATTCACCTCGATACCTTTTTCTTTAAAAGAAAATCCAAACAATATAAAATCTAGAGAGACGGCCGCGGCGGCGCGGCTCGTGAATATTGTCCGAATGTTTTTGTTTGTTTATTTTGTTTTTATTTATTAAATAAAAAGCAAAAAAAAAGGAAAACAAAAACTGTACAGTCATACCTCTATATATGTCCAGTTCCCGGGATTGGCAAATAGACCAGGTCTAGGCGCACATTAAATACTCCTTCCCTTTCGTGACGATCAAGCCCTGACTTACACTAAAACCAGCTTCTTTAACCTTTCCGACCCACCCAATCAAACGCTTCTCGAACTCGTGATGTGTTCCTCTCCTTTCTCGATATTTCTTTTCTGCATGTACCTCATAAGACTGACTGAGTATATTCTCTCCGGACTCCATGAACCTTCTTATTGTTTTGATACTAACGCCGAATGATGCATGCGCTACCCGCACGGCCTCCTTAACTAAATCCTTGCGATTGCTATATTTCCATGATAGGTCTAAGCTGTATCCCGCTTTCTAGATTGTACGCACGATGGCACCTTTTATCTTTGTTTGTTAGATTGATTCTTTTTGTTGTATTGGAGCTCCCCTTTGATAATACAGTCTGTTTATATGTTTTCTTCTTCTTACCAACAGTGAGCCTTTCGCACAACAGCGTTCACCACTAGAAGTGTCTCCCATCAGGATCTATTGTAGTACGTACTCTAGTGTATGTATTATTTAGATAAAGCTACCGTCAAGCTGAGGTGAAAGGTGAAATATTCACACATGAAAAACCCTAAAACCTCTAAGAGCAGGCTGCAGGACCGGCCTAAAACGACCGGACTCGTTGGCCAAGATAGAAATTGGACATATAAAGAGGTAGACACGGTGGCCATATAAATAGGTATGACTGTACTGTAGATAAACAAACCAATATTTAGCAGGCAACGAAATTTTTTTATCTTCTATTTTTTATTGTTTATAGTAGGAGCATGAGTAATAAATATTACCGTGTCAGACACTGTCAGTGTGTCGGACGTCAAGTCGTGTGTCTGTGTCTGCGACAATAAGACATATTTAAGTGTTTTTTAAATAAAAAAACATACTGTACAATATGTATGTACTTTTACAAATAAAGAAACAAAAAAATTACTATGGTATGTCGTTTTTTTTTAGTCACCAACTTACATATTCTCTATTTTATAAAAGGCTATGAAAATGCCTTTCTTTCAAGATACCAATTTGAAAACAAGAACCTAATTCGTTTAACGCTTTCGATACGAATGAGGTCAATATTTATTAATATTTTGGATAGATAGAACCGGTTCAGAGTCTCCAGACTTCATTTTTTTTTAAATCGTAAGACGTACAATGGACGATGACATATCGTGAAATCGAACATTCCATCATTTTTTTTTATTCGTCAGCTTCTCAGCCCAGCTATTATTTAATTTTAGTTTGAGACAAAGAACAAAAAAAGTCATAGTTTAAAAATATCCTTTCGCCCAGGGTAAACCTGTCGTTTGAACGTCCAGACTCGCAGCCAGCAGGCCGCCTGACTGTCAAGTGTCAGCCTGTGAAGTGTGAAGTTGTGAACTGAACTGATTATGTATTTATGAATACACAATATGTAAATACTGAGGAGCCCTTTTGGGCTTTTGCCTTTTGACCTTCAATAATTAAGGGATCGTATTTTAAAATAAAATAAAACCAATATTAGAAATAATAAATAGTATGTATAAGAATTTAGAATGTCTTAATACGGCACTGGTGACAATAAAGGCACTGGTGACAATTAAACCTAAACCCTAAAAACCCTTCAGCCGACAGATAACAAACATACCGGCAGAAAACAAACACATCTCATTAGTGCTTAAAACCACGCTAATTCCATAATTACACCTATATTTAAGCAAATTAAACTCGAAAAGGTATTAGTATGAGACTATTAGGAATCTGGGCCTGAGGGGGTTAATAATTTTGTTGTCACCAGTACCGTGTAAAGACATTCGTATTTTTTATATTTTTATTTCAAGTACATTCAGTAAGAACAACAAATGCCGGAGGAGGGAGTCCCAACGCCGAACGGCCAACGGGCCAACGGGCCAACTCCCACTGCCACTGCCGCAACAAGCAAGAAGAGTGGAACTGAGACAAAATCGAAATGTATGGCATGTCGTTTGACCAAATGTCGGCGTTGTTTACGTCCCAGCTTCCGAAACTTCCGACTCACAACTTCACAAGACCTTTAAATTTTATTATATAAAAAACGCACAACTTGATTCACACTATTGAAGACTCAGAGTTCAAGAGGCAAGAGGTGCCTAATCTCTACTCTCTCTCTCTTTTATATTAAAAATAATCAGTATAAAACTACTATGCAAATAATCAGTAATCTACTAAATAATTAAAATAAATGTCCTGCTAGAAGTCTATCCTACCCTTGAGGCTTGAGCCTAATTGGGCTAAATATTATATTCCGACTAGAAAGAGTAAGAGAGAGGAGAGAGAAGGCTATGCACAACAGCCACAACTGCACATGCAAGTGGACAAGGCCACAACTTCACAAGTCACAAAGTTAGAATCACAGATTAGCAGAATCACAGCTCACAACAGATTCAGACTCCAGTACAATGCTTTAGAGAAAATGTAACAAAGTGCTTTAGAGAAAATGTAACAAAGTTTGGGTGATTAAAGCGTTGTACATGTCATTTAAACATAGTGTGATGATTTTATGTTCCGCATTGAAGGTCTGTGAACTAAATTACTAGGAACTTCTTACTAACAATGGTAATCGTGATCCATGGGCAAGTGTGTATCAATCAGCGGTAAAGGCTTCGTGGTATATTCGTATAACCTCCGTAATCATATCAACTTCTCGCACGCGACAAATATCACAGAAACCCCTCGTGCGCTATCAAAATGCCAATCCTCGACGAATATTTAAATATTCTGTTGGCTCGCCTGCATCCGAGATCAGTCAATAGCTACGGCCAAATATTTCAAACTGCTAGGTGTTACTGACATTTTTTCCTCCTTCTCTTGCTTGATCTGTGCTCGATGACATCATCAATTGTGCAGCAAATGCACCTGGTACTCCGACAGCCTACACATATTCTGAAATGATCGATGGGATCGGCTTCGCTTTCCACTTCAGACTCGGCAGTATCTGTGTGTGTGTTCGAAAGCACAGAGTTGACCGCACATTGATCTATATCCAGACTCGTTGAACGTGAGTGAAACCCAGACTTTGTATAGCTTGAAAGATGATTATCGCTGTCGGTGATAGCAGATTCCCTTGCTTTGCTTGCACGCTCACTCAGCATCGAATCCCGCTCCATCATCAATTCTATTTGAAGCTCCATCATTTGTTTATTGTGTCTCGACTCCAATCTACAAAGTTCAAAAGAAAAAAGTTGCTTCAACTTCTCTCTCTCCGCTTCAAATCGTGCTTTCAACAAACCTGCTTGATCTAGGTATTATAAATGGAGACTTTGTTTGAGAACACAGAAACAAACTAATTGCACTCAAATGTCAGAAAATAGATTCTGGAACTGAACAGTATAAGAGACCGTACTCCCTACTTTCAAACGGAAATCGCATCAGAACTCGACAATCAGAAACTGGTAATATTCAAACTGGGTATAGAACTTATGCAAGCCGTTATAACAGAACACTACCTTTACGGAGGGCTGGAAGTAGATCATCATGGGCATCGCGTGGCGCACCGTGAAAATCCATTTCGAAAGGTCCATATAACTTTATTTTGTAAATGAAGTAAGTTGTGTCTAACAATGCACTATATACATTGTCTTCAGACTTCGTCTATAACTCTATATCGCGCATTCACCATCAAAAATTGCCTTCGATCGGGGTATTTTTTTATTTGTGTCTGATTGAGTGTGAACTGTGAACAGATTTTTAAAAAAAGAATCGAAGGTTCTGTACTTCTCCATGCGTATTTACATAAATATTGCGTCGATGCCGAAGAAGCCGAAGGAGCCATAGAAGCCAAAGTGAACGAAGCCGAGGAAGCAAAGGAATATGATGAACACAATTATTTGTTTCTGTCACACTCTCGGCTAAGTACAATAATTATTTTTTTGTATAAAATATTAAAAATATAGTCATAGCACAGTTTATTTTTAATTCTTCATTGTTTTATTTCTATATTTTAAATATTGTAAACAAATTTTAACCGCCGCTTATACTTTTTTAGTTTTTTAACCTTATGATCTAATTCACAGGGGGTATGAATGTTTTAATGCACCGCATTTAATTTGAAGAGTAACTACAACAAGAGGATAAAACTAAATGAAAACAATAATAATAAACCTAGTATGTATTCTGTACAATTAAAAATATGTATGTACTACAAATGTGCACTTGTTTTTTTTAGAAAGTTGTGAACTAAACTCGCTAGGCATTGTAACTATCAAGTTTCATCTCTATGATAGGAGCATTTGACAGGTCCCTCGTGAGTCGCGTGACTCGGGTAAAAACTGAAAAGATGGCAAGGTGACACGATGACAGTCATGACCAGGTGAAAGTCAGCGATCGGTCATATATAAACAACATAGTATGGGATATATATATTTACATATATATATTTACATATAGTATATATATTTACATAAAGTATA